GTGATCCACCCGCCTCGGCCTCCCAAAGTGCTGGGATTACAGGCTTGAGCCACCGTGCCCAGCTTAAAAATATTTTTAAATGGAAAGTCCTCAATGATCTGGAAGTGAAAGAACAGAGTAGACATGGAAGAGGGGTGTGGGGCAGGTGAAAGGAAAATGTACAGGGAGGAAAAACCCAGTCCTGGCAGGAATCGCATTTAAGTTGAAGGTTTCTGGGGAGCAGTTGTTGGGATAAGAAGGATATAGGGGTGGTAGTGAGGAAGGAGACCCAGGCATCTGAGATCAACTTCCCCTTTGACTATCACGCTGCATTTCAATAGAAGAAAAGGCTGACCGACTGGCGCCTCCTGTTTCACCTTCCTGTAGATGGCATGCTTGGTCTTGGGGAAACTCCGGAAGACTGTTTTTACTTAAAACAAGATCAAACCCAGGAACCTTTTAACATGTGAGTCCTAAACCTGTAAACACAGAAACCCTTTCATATGTGATTCCTAAAACTGTAAACCAGAAACCTTTTCATATGTGATTCCTAAGGCTGTAAACCTAAGATTCTTCCACGTGTAATACCTAAAGTATAAGCCTATATAAACGTAGAACCTTCCTTTGTTAAATGAGCTGGGTAATTTGGAGCCATCGCTCAGCTCCCAGCCGTAATATTAATAATATTAACAATGATAATAGTAATAAACCCTTTTCTTCCCCATTCGATGTTCAGGTGCTCTGTTTCTCACGGCTGCTCCTGCAACAGAAGGAGAATCGTGAAAATATTTAGGACGGTGTACTGCCTGTCATATCATTCCTCCTCCTTTGGTGTTTCTTCAGAAGAAATACACAGCCTTACATTTCTTTTCAAGCATGCTTATCATTTGTGTTTCTCTTTTATTAGTGTAACTGCCCAGAAGCTTTATCTTGCACATTGCCCAGAAAAGCCAATGCAGCTGAGAACACCAGGCTTTCTGCAACAGAGAAAGAATTTAATAAATGCAGAGGCAGCTAAGTGACCAGGACAGGGGTTTATTATTACTCAAATCTTCCAGCCCCCAAATTCAGAGGCTAGGGATTTATTTAAGGATAGTTTGGCGGGCAGGAGGCTGGGGAATGGGGAACGCTGATTGGTTGGGTTGGGGATGAAAATCACAGGGAGTCAGGGCTGGTTTACTTGCAGTGAGTCAGCCCCTGGGCAGGGACCACAGGACCAGATGAGCTAGTTTACAGGTCTGTGTGTGCCAGCTAGTCCATCATAAGATAGGGTCTGAAAAATACCCTGAACACCAACTTAGCATATAGATAACTATACGTTATCTATACCCAATTGTGCGTATAGATAACATCATCATTGACACTAATGATGTTATCTATATGCACAATTAGGGAGCTTAAAAACCTTGTGGCTTCTGGCTGCATGGCTCCTGAGCCGTAATTTCCAACCTGGTGCCCGATTTGTTAGCTTTGCTAAGGAGGTCTGATCCCCAAGAAGGGAAGAAGTTGGTTTAGGGAAGGGGCTATCATCTTCGTTTCAGACTTGGACCTGGAAGTAAACTCCTCTCATAGTTAGCCTGGCCTCTGCCCAGGAATGGACAAGGGCAGCCTGGAGGTTAGAAGCAAGGTGCAGTCAGTTAGGTCAGATTTCTTTCACAGTCACAATTTTCCTATGTCAGGTTTTTCTGACTGTTGTAATTTTTGTGAAGGTGGTTTTGTTAGGAGCAGTATAAATACAATGGTTCTGAGAATGTCTTCTGGAATCAGGCTGCCTCCACTTCAAATTCCTGCTTTCAAATCCTCCTTTGCTGGCTGAGTGACCATGGGCAGGTTATTGAATGTCTTTGTGCATCTGTTTTCTCATATAAAAGATGAAGGTGGTGGTGTGACCTCAGCCTGAGGTAAGCACCAAATGAGTAAACATATGCACACTCATCAGCTGTGCCTCACGTGTGGCACTTTGCATGTCAGGCACAGTTGAGTGTGCATATGTTACTCATGCACATGTTAGCTCTTGTGTTTTGCCTGCAACACTGCACAAAGAGCAGATGTGATGAAAACGGTTGTGTTGAAGTCACAGCAGTGATCCTTTCCAGTGGCTGTGCACCCTCCCAGGGAGACTGCGGCAATCCCCTCACCAGCAGTGATCTCGGGCTGGGAGATCCCGGGAAGGCCCCTCAATCTCCAGCAGGTTTGGCCTTCATGGAGTTTCAGGGAATGAGCTGTAGATGTATATCTACCTGGGAGGAACTGGGAGTTTATTAGCTCATCTGTTCAGTTCATCCAAAGGGGAATAATGATTCAATTTCTTGCCTTAAATCTGCCCCAGTGAAATGTTTATAGTTTTACAGAGGAAGACATTTACATGCAGGGGAGGAAATATGACTTTTCCTCACCCAGCCTAGGTGCATTGCTGAGACCCTTATAGCAAAAGACAGACTTAAAGGGGGAAGAGCACATCTAGTTATTTAAAATAAGTTGTTTTTTTTTTTTTTGGAGACGGAGTTTCACTCTTGTTACCCAGGCTGGAGTGCAATGGTGCGATCTCGGCTCACCGCAACCTCCGCCTCCTGGGTTCAGGCAATTCCCCTGCCTCAGCCTTCTGAGTAGCTAGGATGACAGGCACGCGCCACCATGCCCAGCTGATTTTTTGTATTTTTGGTAGAGACGGGGTTTCGCCTTGTTGACCAGGATGGTCCCGATCTCTTGACCTCGTGATCTACCCGCCTCGGCCTCACAAAGTGCTGGGATTACAGGCGTGAGTCACCGCGCCTGGCCTTAAAATAAGTTTTATATAACAGGAGTGCCTTCCAAAGGAAATGAAGGCCCATAGAAACAACTAAACCTCAGTTGTTGTATTTTTAACAGTAGGTTTTATGAAGAGTGAGTAGTCATGGAGAACTATGATAAAACAAAAATGTATGATCTAACAGTAGCAAATTGGGGAAAACGTAGCCAGGCCTCTTTATTCAGGCTCTTCTCTGTGTCCCTGTGTCTTCAGACTCAAGGACGCACAATTCCTCTGGGTACAGAAAGGACACTTCTCACATGAGAGTCCCATGATCAGCTTCAGGGAAGAAGGGCAGGGGAGAGTGACAGTGACTTTCCTGCTTCTTTTTTCTTTTTTCTTTTTGTCTCAAAGATGGTATTGTCTTTATTAAAAAATGGATACATATAGCAGCAGTTACAAAACAGAGTTCATTAAAGGCGTTGTACAACATTGTCAACTCCAGATAGTGTGGAGAGGGTAGCGCCCTGCTCAGCTGGCTGTGGGCTCTGCATGACGCTTGCCCACAACCACCTGCTCCACTTGGTACAGTGCAGCCCAGAGCACCCCACGGGGAGAGCCACGCCACCATGGCCCTCCGCAGCTTCAAGCTTTTGTTGTCGTGAGTCCCTCAGGTCAAGTAGCACCTTCCATAGCAGCATCGGGAGCACGCACTGGTGTCTGGAGGTGGCTGGTGTACTTGACCCACTTATTAAAAAAAACCTATAAGCATTCAGTAAAAAATACTTTGCCCTGTCTGATGCCATCCACAGAAATACATCTGCTGTGGAAGAAACACTCTGCCATTTAGATGTCTGTAAAAGCGAACGCACGCCTCCGCTGCAGAGGACAGAAGAGAACGTGGGGCAGGTGCTTCCGCGTGACTGTCTTTGGTGAAGGCTGGGGTGTCATGCCATTTCCGGCCCATTGCTCTGCTTCTTACTGCTCTGTGGAGGGGTGAGGAGCCCACTGGGGAGAGGAGAAGCCCTGTTTTGTTCAGACAACATGGCCTTCTTGGCTTGGGCTTTGTCCAGCAAATCCAAGCTGTCTCTGTGGGTCTGTATGCTAGGTGTATCTTCATCAGCGATGCCCCTGAAGTGCTTCAGTTTTGAGGTCCCCATCTTCCTTATAAACATGGCAAATGGAACCATCCACTTGGCACAGTTCTCTATGTCACGCCATTCATATCCTGAAACCTTTTGCATCAATTCAGATGAAGAGAAATGATACACGGCCAAAGCAGCAAGTATACGGTAAGGAAATTCGAGGCAGTCGACATGCAGGACACAGAGATCCAACAGTTCTGCAATGTGTATAAAGGTTTGCTGGGGATACTGCGGCAGTAGCACGTCATGGATGTCACTTAGATATGCAACCTGCATGTATACATTCAGCCAGGACACAATAGTCAGGGGACTTGAACCCCACGTAAGGGCCTTCATAATCATTAATTCCATGGTAAAAACTTCATCTCCTGAACACGCTCCGTCTGTCACATACGCAAACCGGTGCAACTTTGGAGGATAGATTTCCTCAAGTTTGGCTGCTATAAATAAAGATGAAATCCCAATAAGCTGCAAAAGAGTTTTTACGACATTTTCTTGTGTCGCCATATACCAGTCAAAGAAATTTTGTGTCAAGTAAAAGGTGTCCCTGTGAAGCTTATAGCCTTCACACACCTCCATAAACCAATCCAGAAGAATTGCTCGCATTTTTGGCTGCAGAAGAGGCTGTTGCTCAAGAAAGCATCAACTGAAACAATATCATATGTAAAAACAAGTGATTTTTTTTTTTAAGGCTAGTCAAGTGACACAATGGAAGGAGAGAAGGAACAAAGAAATCGACAACTGGTGATCAATTATTTGTAAACAGGAATGAATTTTTATGCACTATACACTGTAATCAAAGTCATATATGCTGCACAGTTGGTAGTGAACAGCAGTGCCCTGAGCACTTCTTACACTTGTTTCCGGGGATAACAATTTTCAATGCATGCAGCCAACCTCTCCATGAATATTGTTACTCTTTGACTGTTTAGTTTCCCATCCCAGGCCCTGCAGTCCAGCCTGCTAGAGGAAACGGAGTTTGTGTGTTTCCCTACCTGCCAGTCCACTCCAAGGAGCCAACAAGGCATTCCACCTGCCCCCACCCCACGTCCTTTAAACTGAGCCCTCAAAGACTAGGGTGTTTTTCAGTCCTTCATAAACGCTTTCAGTTCCAAAATATGAAAATCAGAGCAATGGTCCCGAGCGCATTGCGTGACATGTTAGCTCGCTCCCAAGACCCAGCAGGAGCTTCATCTCAAGTGCTCTAAAGAGCAGGAGAAAACATTTGTAACTCTGGTCGCATCCTAAGGCATCTTCTCCTTGGGGCAGGGTCCTGGCAGGATGAGGGGGAGCCCCATCATCAGAGACTCCCCCTCAGAGCTGCTCAGGCTCCTCTTCT